AAGATTTTTTTTTTTTTTTTTTTTTGTCCTCCTCTTACATCTAACGGTGTAGAACTACCAACCACATCGACCATATCGACCCTGAATAATTTCTACTAAGCAACCGACCATAAAACGAGCATCATAAAGCAAGGCCATAGAGAACTAAAGCTAGAACGGTCTAGATTTCTTCATAAAGCACAAACCAAAACCACAAGATCATCTACTTAAAAATTTGATTTATTCTCATTAATCCAACGGCAGTGACTCTATGATGAGGTACAAAATCATATCTACCTTCGCTTTTCAGTTGTAGTAAAAGGCAAAAAGAAAAAAAAAAGTTTGTCCATAGAGCTTAAAACTTGACCAAGCTAAACCAGCAAAGTTATGGTGTTCTAATAATGTTATACTTCTCATACTCGAGTACAAACAAAGATTCAAGTATTGAAATGATCAAAACCATTACCACATGTAACAGGATTTCACACTTCCTGAAATCTACTGCTCTTTGTATCTCTTTTCTACCTCCTCCAATCTTTCAATCTCTTGGTTATACTTGCAAATGCGATAGATACACCTGCATGCATATGGTAGATGGCAGTTTAGACTGTAAGAAGCTGACACGAGAAAAAACTTCGACCGAAAAGGGTTTCGTTGTATCATACCAGTAGAGGAGGCATGCACAAACACATAGAATCACGTTCCTCTGAGCTTTATAGTTCTGTATAATAAACATTACTGGTAAGGGTTGGGAGCAAGTAAAGAAGAGCAAAGAATAGCATATTAGAGAGCAGGGAGGGGAGGCAATTCTGTTTGTTCACCATAGATAAAAAGGATAGACAAGCAGCCTCGCAATCTGTAACGATTTTGAATTCATGCTAGCAGATATGGTCCTTTTTGGACTTTTCCTCAAGGTTTTTAAAACGCGTCTGCTAAGGAGAGGTTTCCATACCCTTATAAACAATGTTTCGTTCTCCTCCCCTAACATATGTAGGATCTCATAATCTACTCCCTTTGGGGCCAGCGTCTTCACTGGCACTCATTTCCTTCTCCAATTGACGCGGGTTCTCACACAATCACTGCATTATAGCAAGCACAGTCCTACGGGTATCATTTTCAGGTTGAGATCAGAGATATTGATCCTGCAATTTTTTTTTTCAAAAATAATGTTGATTTTTTTTTTCTCTTTTTTATACAAAGAATGGAAATTGAGGTGGTTTTATGTGAATTTATTGCATAGGCACGTTCAAGTTCCCTATTGTCCCCATTTTCTTGTCTTTTTTTTTCCTGCCCCCATAGTTACTGCCATCCTTACTGGGATTTGGGTTTCTTTTCATAGATTGCAGAAGGGGGGAAACCTATTATATTGCTTATAAGGAAACATATTCATTGTGGGTTTTTTTTTTTTCAGATTGCATATATAACAGAAAACCTATCTATGTGAGGGATTTAATTAGATTGCAGAGAAGAGAAATAATCCACACTAATATTGTGACAGCCCAAGCCCACCACTAGCAGATATTGTCTGCTTTAGCTTGTTACATATCACCGTTAGTCTCACGGTTTTAAAATGCGTCGGCTTAGGAAAGGTTTCCACACCCTTATAAAGAATACTTTGTTTCTTCCCCCTTCAACCGATGTGGGATCTCACAGTCCACCCCCTTCGTGGCCCAACTTCCTTATTGGCACTCATTGTCTTCTTCAATCCCCTTCGAGGCCCAACTTCTTTATTGGCACTCATTGTCTTCTTCAATCGACGTGGGATCTCACAAATATTGTGGGGTTTTCCGGATTGCATATGAGAGAAAAATAACCCAATTTATATTGTGACTGAGGATTCATGCTGCAAAGTGCAGAGAGAGCTGGGTTTTCAAATCGTAGAAAGAAAGAACATCTTTCCATGTTGTGGGTCGTGATATTTTTATATATATAAAAAAGAAAGGATTTCTCAGGGAAATAATAATCATATAGAAAGATGTTTTCATACCTCACCAGAAATTGCAACACATTCCCAATTATTTTGAGTTCCATATCGATTCCATTCTAATTTACCTTTTCTTTCCAACTCACCCACCCACCCCACTACAGTCCACCTTCTTATTTTGACAAGCAAATCTTTGGCACCAACGTCGTTGTTCACCAACTTCTACCCACTACCTAATCATCCAGATGATATCCTACTATCTCGAACACGATATTTGATTTTCTAATGATTTGGACGTAAACCATCATATCATTTCCACTCCACCGCCCAACCCTGTTTATTCTCCAATTAAATCATATGAAAATGATATTCTCCATCATAAAACCTGTAAGCCCACTGCTAACCGATGTTAGCAAAAACCTGTAAGCCCACTGCTAACCGATATTATTTGCTAACAGATTCACATACTACTGTTAGATGAACACGACTCTCCACAATGCTATGATATTGTCCACTTTGAGCATAAGTTCTCATGGCTTTGCTTTGGGCTTCCCCAAAAAGCCTCAAATCAATGGAGATAGTATTCTTTGTTTATAAACCCATGATCATTCCCTAAATTAGTCGATGTGGGACTTTCATCATCCAACAACTACAACATAGAATAGTGTGGGTAGAATCATAAACTAAAAAGAGTCGTTCCAACACTTCAATCCTTTTCTCTCCAAAAAGTTTGAAGGACTCTATCACTTGAACGAGAAGGAATGTTCATCGGTAGAATCATGATCAAGCACAGTAGGAAAATGGAAGAATGGAACATGGGGTAGCAACAGGAATAAGGAATGTGAAAACTGTAATATGAAACAATACTGTGAAGATCACCAGAGTTCATGACTATAGACAAGACAACGTGGTCCAATTATGCATTCTCCATCCTTGAACGATACCTCAATAGGTTAGTTACTAAATCCTTTAGTTTTGCGCTATGCATCCACATTTCATCAATCTCTAATCCGTTAAAATTCTAACAATTGCTAGCGTTGACGAAATTAAACAGTTTAATCATCTAATCCACGGGCTTCAAAACAATCTAATGCATCATTGAGCACTAACTAAATAATAAGACAAATTATAACCGCAACTTGAGATTAGTACTTACGGTTTTCTCATATCGATCTCTCTCAGAAGCAGTGCATATCTCAGATGTGCACTTCAACCGATGCTCATTCTTCCAGTATATATCTACACAGTACAACCAGAAACTTCAGAAATAAAAGTCCGATCTCAGGTCGCAGCCAAGATTAGCATAACATCGGCCACCAGGTTGCGATTTACAACAATCAAAAACCAAAGTTGAAGAATAGCAGCAAGTAAAAGGGCAAAAACCTAGAATCTGAAAGCCGGCGAAGGGCACGACGAAGAGTGCAGGTTGAAGAATGAGTGAAATCAGAGAGACGATGCGTTTCTTGAGCAGCTTGGGTGAAGGAATCGTCAGCAGAATGGCGACGGCAACCTCCACCGCCACCGTATAAGCCAATAGCACCCACTGCAACGCCATTTTCGATCAAATGCCTTGCTTCTTCTCTTTGTCTTCGACGCCCTCTTTCTTCTCCCTCGGTCCAATTTTCTTTTTCCTTTTATTTTTGCTTTTCTTAGTAAAGAAGAAATAAATATAATTAAGCCTAAATTACAATTACTTAAATCTAAATTTTAATATTTAATAAAAAATTTAAATATATCATTAAGAAAAAGCTATCCAATCATTAATTAGAAAAATGTATTATTTTTTGTCAGCTCATTCCACACATAAAACAATACATTTTCATATTTTTTCGTTTTTACCTACGTGGCAATTTTGTATTTTTCATGTTTTTTTTTAAGTTAATTATTATTTTTTATGTTTTTTTATACTTTATTATAATTTTAAATGAAAGAAAGAAAAAAAAGCTGGGCCTTGAATTATTTGGTCACATGTACTAAGTGGTTGGCTAGCTTAATAACTATTTTGTTTGTTGAGTTTTTGTATAAATTATTAATTAAAATAATTTTATACAAATATAATTTTTTTTTTAATTTTCTCAAAATATAATTGATATATTATGATAAAATATGAATGTAAATTTTAAATAAAAACACGAACTAAACTTATTTTTGAATAACCATTTACCTACGATATTAATTAATTATCATATAGCTACGTAGTTGTCACATTAAAATAGTCAAAACTTTATGTAAGTTATTTGTCAACCTGAGCATAACATGTCAAGAGTTGGAATCTTCATCCTCGTGTTATTGATAGAGATGTTCATGAGCTGTGTAACAACCTACGCTCACCGCTAGTAGATATTGTCCTTTTTGAACTTTCTCTTTCGGACTTCCCCTCAAGGCTTTAAATGGTATTAGAGGCAGACACCGAACGATGTGTCGGCCTTCTTACTGTTACCCGAAAGGGGATAGACACGAGGCAGTGTGCCAATAAGAACGCTAGGCCCCAAAGGGCGGTAGATTTGGTGGCGGTCCTATATCGATTGGAGAAAGGAACGAGTGTCAGTGAAAATGTTGGGGCCTAAAGGGGGTGGATTAGATATCTCACATTGGTTGAAGGGAAGCCCGAGAAAAAGTCTTAAGAGAAAAATGTCTGCTAGCGGTGGGCTTGAGTTGCGGAGACTGCGGAGACTGTAACCTAAAATTTTTCTTTTCCTATTCTTGCTGCCCAAATTAAATTTGGAATGAATTTTAATTTCGTATTCAAGAAATGTGTAGATTTTAAAAATATTGAATATAGACCAAAAATTAAAAATTAAAGAAATTGTTATATTTTTTTAAAATAATAATTTAACCTAAATTATAAGCGTGGTTAATTTAATTTTATTTTAATTAAAAAGACACCCGTCCTGCATGTAGAAAAGGGCCCCACAATCGTCTACGTCCTGGCAGCTTCCATTTAAGCAAATCCGTTTCCCATCACTTTTATCTGAACACAGAAACCAGAACTCCACTATCAACAATACTCTCCATCTCTTATGGCTCTGGTTCGTGATCGCCGCCAGTTGAAACTCCGCCTCCCGGACCTCTCCGACTGCGGTCCCCGCTTCCCCCTCCCCCTCCCACCCTCCTCTGCCCCTGCCATCTCCTCCGCCGACCTCGAAAAGCTCCAAGTCCTCGGGCACGGCAACGGCGGCACAGTCTACAAAGTCCGCCACAAGCGAACCTCCAACATCTACGCTTTCAAGGTCGTCCACGGCGACGGCGATCCCACCGTTCGCCGCCAGGTTTTCAGAGAGATGGAGATTCTCCGCCGTACGGACTCTCCTTACGTCGTGAAATGCCATGGAATCGTCGAGAAGCCGTCTGGAGATGTCACGATTTTGATGGAGTATATGGATCGAGGATCGCTTGATACGCTCTTGAAGAAGAATACCACGCTGTCAGAGTCCACGCTCGCTCACGTATCGCGTCAGGTTCTTAATGGCCTTCACTACCTTCACTCTCATAAAATCATTCATCGCGATATTAAACCGTCGAATCTCTTGGTGAATAAGAATATGGAGGTTAAGATTGCCGATTTTGGAGTTAGTAAAATCATGTGTAGGACTCTGGATGCTTGCAATTCCTACGTCGGAACCTGCGCTTATATGAGTCCGGAGCGGTTCGATCCAGAGACTTACGGCGGAAATTACAACGGTTACGCCGGAGACATATGGAGTTTAGGCCTTACTCTTCTGGAACTCTATTTAGGCCATTTTCCTTTTCTTCCGCGTGGTCAGAGACCGGATTGGGCGACTCTGATGTTTGCGATTTGCTTTGATGAGCCGCCGACGCTGCCGGAGGATGCGTCAGAGGAGTTTCGAAGCTTCGTCCAGAGTTGTTTGCAGAAGGAATCGAGCAAGAGATGGACGGCGGCGCAATTATTAACGCATCCGTTTGTAAGTAAGGAATCGAGATCCGATCGGTGAATCGGGTGAGAAAGTGGTGGATTGAAGGATTCGAATCACTGGTGGTTTAAAGGTCCGTCCAATTTCTGAGATCTGTAATAAACTTGCCGATTTCGGATGAACTTTTGTATATAGTTCTTTTTCTTCCTTCAATCAATCTGAATCTTTATCTATAGCGTCTCTCTGAATCTCCAATCAGTCTAATCCTAATCCGCTGCTTAATTTCGGAGAATTTTTGTAGCTTTCTGATTTAAAAATTTCTCGATTCAGAAAAGATCAGTTCATTTTTCAATGACGAACACGAAAAAGATCGAGAGACTCTTGATTTGAGCCTCCATCATCCATTTTTTCTCTACGTGTTCTTGTTGAAATTGAAATCAATTTGACCAATCGGTTTATTAAAAGGTAAAATACAACTTTTGGAATCAAATTTCGTGAAGTTCGAACCAATAATCTCCAAACCAGCAATAGAGCTTCTCTTTTTTTTTTTCTTTTTTTTTTTAAATTTTATTTTAATTATAGGATGAACAAATATTTCCCTAATCCCTTTCTTAATGTATATATCTATTTTAAAATATTAAGTATCATATATTTAATTTTATAATGACCAGCTACCTAATATTTTTTTTGGTAATAAAATATTCATATAGTTGAGATTTTATATACTTTACTATATATATATTGTTAATTAAGATATAGATACTTTTTTTGAAAAGCATATGAGAATGTCTCTGTTTAATAATGAGTGGATTTAACTATTTATTTGAGATTATAGTCTCTAAACCAAGACGTTCTTTCTTATACTGCTTACATAACCTATAATCTAAACTATAACACCAACTTGTAACGCTCGCTTGTTAAGGAACTCGATGAACGGTCGCTAATATAGATTAATTTTTACAGAAAACATTTTATATTTTAGAATTAGTTAAACGGAAGCCACCATAATTTGCAGATAGGATATCAAGTAGATAACACCGAGTTTGGTTGTTAGGTTAGACAACATAATTATATATTTTACGATGAAGGAACCCCACGAAGCGACTATATTGAAAAGAAAATGGGGATGTTCGTCATTATTTAATAAGAATTATTTAAATTGAAAAATTTTACAACTCGAACAATTGGATCGAGTCTAAAAAATATCCTAATTCAACACAGTGACACCCGACATTACAACAATTAGATATTTAATATGTCGCATAATTTTAATATATCTTAAATAAAAATCATTCCTTAATTTTTTCGACTTATGTTTTAAAAAATTTTATTTACGTTTATTTATTCTCATATTTTGAAATATATTTAAATTTTAAAAATAATAATTCAACCTTTTTTTCGTTGGATAATTGTAAAGTTGTAAGACAATAATAAGTATACGACATTTTATTGGCATTAATTCCTCTTTTGTCCCTTTCATTAAAAGTTGAATATTCCTAAACTTATTTTCTTCCTCTTACACAAAACTTAGCTGTCTTGGAGGGTAAAAAGGGAAATTGGAAAGGTTAAAATTAAAATGAATTAAAAAAGAAAGAATTACGGAAAATGACAAAAATAAATTTAATATAATATCTACTTACCGATGTGAAGGGTGCATGAATCTCAACTTAACTTTTCGACGCCACGTTTCGATAAAAATATAATTTTATTTATATAAAAAATAAAATTTCCCATTTTATTTTCTTTTATATTTTTATTTTATTTTACCTAAATAAATATTGATTTTCAACTCAGTGAGAATTTAGTTTTGAATTTGTTCGTTCCGATATTAATTTAACTGAAACAAAATTCCGCTCTCCACCTCTCCGTCTAATGAAGAGTAATGGGTAGGAATACAAAATATAATTCCCATCCCTATTTAGTTAATAAAAAGAAATTTGCTCAACATTTTCATATGGGTTAGATGAATATCCCGTCCTAACATTAAAAAATATATATATATTATTATTAAAAGATAATTTTTGGAGAGTACATAGAAAATACATAAAGTTTGGACATATAAACGTACATTGTCATATGAGTTAGATGAATATCCCGTCCTAACATTAAAAAATATATTATATTATTATTAAAAGATAATTTTTTGAGAGTACATCGAAAATACATAAAGTTTGGACATATAAACGTACATTGTCATATGGGTTAGATGAATATTCCGTCCTAACATTAAAAAATATATTATATTATTATTAAAAGATAATTTTTTGAGAGTACATCGAAAATACATAAAGTTTGGACATATAAACGTACATTGTCATATGGGTTAGATGAATATCCCGTCCTAACATTAAAAAATATATATATATTATTAAAAGATAATTTTTGGAGAGTACATAGAAAATACATCAAGTTTGGACATATAAACGTGGGAGTATTAAATTGGATTTTTTTGCATTTTTAAATTCTTCAAATATTTTGGGGTGGGCCAACTGTCGAAACCACTATTGGGTTGTCGTTTTATTAAGTTTCTTCGACACGAAACGACATGAAGTTTTTTTCATTGTTTGAAATTTCAGCCACCAATACTACTGGTTTATTATTATTATTATTATTTATTTATTTACGACAACGATATTTTTATTTTTATTACGAAAAATATATTTTTATTACAAATTTCAGATAAGATTCTAGTAATACATGATTTATTATTTTTAAAATTACCTATAATTTTTTCGTAAAATATATGATTATTTAAACTCTCGTAAATGGGCCAGCCCACGTTAGAAAATTCTGCTTACAAACGGGCCTATTGGCCCACAAATAACCATGTGAAGTCTGCTAGAGAGTCAGGTCCGGCTCAATTTCTCGTAGTTCTCGGACGACTCGACTCGACAGAATCAATGAGTTTTTCAACACTCGAAGGTAGCTACTCAATCAATTAGTTATGGAATACTCTATGATATTAACGATAGTAATGATATCGATCGTGACCTTGATACGGAGCTCGTCATCCGCAGTTTATTTTCCATCTATAGCCATAACAAATTTTTATGGTTTTCTTTGGACTTTTACTTCACTTCTCCTAAAGGTTTTAAAACGTGTCTATTATGGAGAGGGCCTAACCCTACTCCGATCAATGCCTCACATCGTTCGGTGACTGCCTCTGTTACCATTTATAACAGCTCAAACTCACCGATAGCAAATATTGTCTTCTTTGGACTTCTATAGTTGTATTAGAGCCAGTCACCAAGCGGTGCGAGGCGCTGACCGGAGTAAGACTGGACCCTCTCCATAGTAGACGCTCTTCAAAACTTTGAGGGGGAAGTTCGGAAGAGAAAACCTTAAGAGAACAATATCTGCTTGCGGTGGGTTTGGACTATTACCAAACTAACGATGACACTAAATCCCATGGTGTGGACTGTGAGATCCCAAATTGATTAGAGAGAGGAACAAATTATTATCTATAATCGTGTGAAAACTTCTCACATCTTAATCCCTTGAAAGGAAAATCTGAAAGAGAATAATAACACTAGCTCATCTACAACTCGATGCACATAAATTATGACAACACATTGATAATTTACTTGGAATACGAGTCATAAAACAAAAACAAAGACCAAATAGTTGTACGAAGTTAAACTTTGTTTTGTTTTGTTTTGTTTTGTTTTGTTTTTTTCAATTAATAAATATTACAAATTAATTCTCAGGAAATAGGGGGAGTGGTTAACTTATTATCCCTTAATTACCTAAATATTCACCTGTGGATTGTTAATTCGATCATCATTCATTATTATAAAATTCATTAATATTCTGAATCCAAAAGCAACCAGACGAGGACGATTCTTCCTGCCCCATCTTCTTGATCGAATATTACCTCAGATTCACTCACCTATCTTTTCTTGTGAATCACTGCTGGTTTCTTCATCCATGGCGTCGTTGAATTTCACCCAAATCAGAAACAAAAACCCAATTTCCGACCTCACTCTGACTCGGTCTCAGACGGGTTTGGCTCGTCGGACTCGAGTTGGGTTCAAAGTGGTTGCCGCCGGTGAGTCTCCGGTGGAGCCCGATCTCAGTGTGACTGTCAATGGGTTGCACATGCCCAACCCGTTCGTAATCGGTTCCGGTCCTCCCGGAACGAACTATACGGTTATGAAGAGGGCATTCGATGAAGGGTGGGGGGCTGTGATCGCCAAAACTGTAAGCTCTGTCCCCTTTGATTCTGTTTGGTTACTGAGAAAATCGATGGGAAAGTTGTAAGACATTACAGGGAATGTTTTGATCTTAGTTCATCCATTTTCAATTCTGCAAATCTGGTTCTGTTCTTGAGCTTTTACTGTGATCTTGAACATTTAGAACATAAGGAATGGATCTCAGTGCAATTAAGAGAATGTTTAGATTAGGAATATGATAATTGTTTGAAGTGTTTGGCTATAGGCTCCTGGTTCTGCTATCATCCATGGCTTACATATCCATCTCATGATATCATTTTTCATCTGTTAGGTGTCATTAGATGCAGCTAAGGTTATAAATGTTACTCCACGATATGCTCGGCTTCGAGCGGATTCGAATGGTTCGGGAAAAGGGCAGATTATAGGGTGGGAGAACATTGAATTGATAAGTGATAGACCTCTTGAAACTATGTTGAAAGAGTTTAAGCAGTTGAAGGAGGAGTATCCTGATAGGATTCTTATTGCTTCAATCATGGAGGAGTATAATAAAGCTGCTTGGGAAGAACTTATCGATCGAGTCGAACAAACTGGAGTTGTAAGATTACTGTCTATGGATTTTCTCCCAAGAACATGTTCTTTTGATTCATTATGTATGTTTCTTTCTTCAGGATGCATTTGAAATCAATTTCTCGTGCCCTCATGGCATGCCTGAACGGAGAATGGGCGCTGCGGTCGGGCAGGATTGCGCGCTTTTGGAAGAGGTTTGTGGATGGATAAATGCTAAAGCTACAATCCCTGTGTGGGCTAAAATGACTCCCAATATCACTGACATTGCACAGGTACTCTTGCTCTCCCTCAGCTGTGTTTATCTATGTTATGCGACCAATTCTTTTGTTGACCCAAGCCCACTACTAGTCGATATTGTCCTCTTTAGATTTTCCCTTTAGGGCTTCCATTCAAGGTTTTTAAAATGTGTATGCTAGGGAGAGGTTTCCATACCCTTACATAGAATGTTTCGCTCCCCTCTCCCATATGATCTCACAATCTACCCCCATTTGGGATTCAGCGTCCTCACTGGTACTCGTTCCTCTCTCTAATTGATGTGGGATCTCATATTCCACCTCTTCGAGCCCAATGTCCTCGCTGGCACTCGTTCCTCTCTCCAATCGATGTGGGAACTCACAATCCACCCCCTTTGAGCCCAACGTCCTCGCTAGCACACCGCTCGGTGTCTGACTCTGATACCATTTGTAGCAGCTCAAGCCCACCATTAGCAGATATTGCCTTCTTTGGGCTTTCTCTTTCAGGTTTCCCCTCAAGCACACCCTTATACAGAATGCTTTGTTCCCATCTCCAATCGATGTGGGATCTCGCAATCTCACTCCCCTTCGAGGCCCAGCGTCCTCGCTGGCACTCCAATTGATGTGGGATCTCATAATCCACCCCCCTTCAGGCCTAGCGTCCTCGTTGGCACACTGTCAGTGTCTGGCTCTGATACCATTTGTAACAACTCAAACCACCCCTAGCAGATATTGTCCTCTTTGGGCTTTCCCTTTCGGACTTCCCTGGAAGGTTTTTAAAACGCATATGCTAGGGAGCGGTTTCCACACTCTTATAAAGAATATTTCGTTTCCTTCTCCAATCGATGTGGGATCTCACAATAATACAACATACCTATTTGGTGTAACTTGTAACTTCCTAAACAGAAAGCCTTATAAACTTTGCATCTGTACTGAATTTTATATGTTGGAGGAAGAAGTTTTTCGTTAAAATGGCATCTGTTCTATGGTTGCATGTACTAATGCAACTGATGAATTTGCTACTCATTCTCTTGTATGGTATTCATGTAACATAGAATTCTCCTTATATATAGCCTGCAAGGGTGGCTCTGAAATCAGGATGCGAGGGAATAGCGGCCATCAACACGATCATGAGCGTAATGGGAATCGACCTCAAGACCTTACGTCCCGAGCCTTGTGTCGAGGGGTTGGATAATTCAAACTCTTCAATATAGAATGGTTGTGTATTGAATGCATTCAGCTACAATGTTTGATATGCTTCATTGTTAGGTACTCAACTCCTGGAGGCTACTCTTCCAAGGCAGTTCATCCTATTGCTCTTGGTAAAGTGTTGAGCATTGCAAAAATGATGAAGGCAGAGTTCAATGATGCAGACTACTCTCTTTCTGGCATTGGGGGTGTTGAAACCGGTGGAGACGCTGCCGAGTTTATTCTACTCGGAGCTAACTCTGTTCAGGTACGACGAGAAATTGTAGCCTATGATTTGTTTGGTGCGTTTTGAAGCTTTAACATAGTGAGGATTTGTTCATAAATCATAAATTTGGGCATCAATTTTCTGATTTCTGATTAAGAACTAAGAATCACTTCATAACAAGTATTGTTTACATTTCCACTTCGTCTCGTTCACTTCTTAACCGGGAAAGACATCGCAAGCTCGCCGTGAATGATCGAGTCAGAATCAGTGTGAGATTCTATATCGGTTGGAGAAGGGAACGAAGCATTCCTTATAAGGATGTGGAAACCTCTCTCTAATATATGTGTTTTAAAACTTTGAAGGCAAGCCCAGAAGAGAGCCTAAAGAGGACAACGTTTGTTACCGGTAGGCTTGGGCTGTCATAAATGGTATCAGAGCCAGACATCGGGCAGTGTGCCAGCGAGGACGTTTGGGCCCCCAAGGGGGAGTGGATTGTGAGATCCCACATCGGTTGGATAGGGGACGAAACACTCCTTATAAAGTGTGGAAATCTCTCTCTAATAGACGTGTTTTAAAACCTTGAAGGGAAGTCCAGAAGGGAAGCCCAAAGAGGATATCTGCTAGTGGTAGGTTGAGCTGTCACAAATGATATCAGAGTCAGACACCGTGTAGTGTGCTAGTGAGGACGCTTGGGCCCCCAAGAGGGGTAGATTATGAGATCCCACATTGGTTGGAGAGAGGAACGGAGCATTCCTTATAAGGGTGTGGAAGTCTCTCCCTATTAGACCCGTTTGGAGAGAGGAACGGAGCATTCCTTTTAAGGGTGTGGAAGTCTCTCCCTATTAGACCCGTTTTAAAGCCTTGAAGGGAAGCCCAGAAAAGAATAATATCCGCTAGCGGTGGGCTTAGGCTTGGGCTTGGCTGTTACAATCCGTTGCGGTTATTGGTATTATGAGTAAGTTTTGTTGATCTTCAGGTGTGTACTGGAGTGATGATGCATGGGTATGGCCTTGTAAAGAAGCTTTGTGCGGAGCTGAAGGACGTCATGAAACTTCACAACTTCTCATCCATAGAAGATTTCAGAGGGTAAGTTTGCAGTTCTGTGTAGGATACAAGTCGAGTCCCTCGAACGTCGGTTGCATTAATGGATTCTGGATGAAACAGGGCTTCTCTTCCGTATTTCACGACCCACACGGATTTGGTTCGGAGGCAGCGGGAAGCAATCGAGCAGAGAAAAGCTGTGAAGAAAGGGCTGCAATCTGATAAAGATTGGACTGGCGATGGCTTTGTTAAAGAGACAGAGAGTATGGTTTCCAACTGAGCATTGCCATTACAAATGGTGTCTTTATCCCTTCCTTTCTCTTAAAGGGCGACGAATAAGTGTATTACTACAGAACAATTTAGCAAGTATGGTAAACCTTTGTAGATTCATAAATGAAGGAATAATGACAATTTATAATTCTTCCTCGTAAGGCTGAATGCGATTGTCATTTGTTAGGACGAATAATACACTAGTACATATTGTCCGCTTTAACTTATTACGTATTATCATCATCAGCTTTATAATTTTGACTGTCTAGGACAGATCTTTAGGCCATTCTAAGAAATGTTTTATTCGTCTTTCCCGTTATGTGAGATCTCACAATCTTACCCTTTTGGGAGATTAGCATCTCACAATCTTACCCTCTTGGGAGATCAGCGTCTGGGATCTCACAACCTACCCTTGAGGAGCCCAACGTCCTTGTTGGCACACGGCTCGATGTCTAGCTTTGAGCCTCATAGTTTTGACTGTCAGGGACAGGTTTTTAGGCCCTTCTAAGAAATGTTTTATTCGTCTTTCCTGTCGATGTGAGATCTCACAATCTTACCCTCTTGAGAGACCAGCGTCTAGGATCTCACACCTATCCTTGAGGGGCCCTAAAAGTCCAAATTCTCGTTTGGGATCTCATAACCTACCCCTGAGGGGCCCAACGTCCTTGTTGGCACACGACTCAATGTCTAGCTTTAATACCATTTGTAACAGTCAAAATAGTCCAAATCCACCACTACTAGCTATTGTCCATTTTAGCCCATTACGTGTCGCTGTCAGCCTCACGGTTTTAAAATGATGTTAGAGAGGTTTTCATACCCCTTACAAGAAATGCTTTTGAGAGAAGTTTCCATACCCTTACAAGAAAGGTTTCGTTCTCCTCTCTCTCACGTATTTGTTCATCAAATTCTATGCCATTCAACATATAGCTTTGGAAAGTTAAAAGGTAAGAAACCTAAAACAAAATCGAAGTATAGGGTGAAATAGATAGAAGATAAAGGAGGGGGATTCAGCAAGCAATATCAATCTTAGTGCAAAACTTCATATTATTATATGTTCTGAAATACTTGGAACTCAAAACTATGGAAAGAATTAGAACAGATATATCTTCGGTACATAGAGGCCGCATCGGCAGAGCAGCTGGAAAAGATGGCCTTTTGATCTTTATGCCATATCAAACCCTATGGTGTTGTAAAATCTAACATCCTACATCGAATTATTCTCTCAAAAAACATGTATTACCTACAAACTTAGTTTCAAACTCGAACCGCCTCCGAAAACAACACGTTCGAATATAGTGATGAAAAATGAAAAATATAAGGACAGGAAGGCTGCACCAAACATCCAACAGTATTACCTCATGGGGAGTGAGTCTTCTTCACCGTCTACTTTTATTTATCAACTACGGAAGTTTCCATCGTTTCAGTCATAAGCTTTCTCCCAATCATCTGCCACTTCCGACATGTTTGTTTCATTATCTGCTACAACCTGCGTCCCCAAAGAATTCAAACTTCTACTTGTGCCTGATTCAGATCCTGAAGAAGAGGAACGCCCTACTCGACTTCCAGGATTGTGTTCGACAGATTGAGCAGAAGAACTTCCAGAAGATTCGGGGTCTAAAGCGTGCCACCGATTAAGTGAAGCAGGTAGGGGAGCTTCTCTTTTCCATACGGATGCCTGCACGTCGATAGACGGACCAGACCACTCTTCGTCACCCCATGAAGTCTCCTTCCAACTAGAATCCTGAACTACGGCCCTTTTCCATGGATTGCTACTCTTCAATGCTCCACCTTCCTTGTTAGCATTCTCCCCTCCCCAAGCATTTCCATTAGATGATGCGGATGCACCACCATTCTGAAGAAAACTGGCTCCATGATAAGCTGTCCCATGATCCAACCGTCTCATTGCAGTAGCAGCTCGAGCAGGATCGCTGAATACAGCCAACGCATTCTTGTCGTTCAACCATACTAATTCACATTCCCCACCAAATCTCAAGACCAATGCACTTATATCTGCTTCCCGAGGCAAATCTGGAAAAGAAACAACTAGCCTAGGATCCATATCTACTAAAGGATCGTAAGCTGGTGGATGTGGAGTACTTGTGGTCGTCGAGCCCTTAATACCAAGCACCCGAGGCGGAACTTTTGATTTAGGCGTAACATGAATTGCAATGAAACGTTTAGGCTCCCAGCCAACAGAGTTAATTGCAAGCTTCCACCTCTCAGCAATCAGCCTCACAGCATCTCTTTTGTCCTTCGGCATTGGACAGAAAACATGAACTTTAAGGCCACTCATTGCTCCTCTATTCTTTCCCAGGACCAAGAATTTGCATCTCTCCTCCACAGACAATACCCATTTCGAGTCACGTCTGAAGAGGTCTGCAAGCAATTCAGAAGCGGAGCTATCACCGAAGTGAAGCGCATCCAGATTTGGGGGATTGATATCAAAAGCATCAGCAAGAACCCGTTTCCTTTCTAGCTTAGAGCATTCGTCATCACACATCAGCTTTCTCTGTCCTAGAGGAACCTTTTTGCTGGTTGCCTCAATCGGTTGAAGAGGAGCAGGTAATTTTTGGATAATTGAAGCATACAGAGTATCAGTATTAAAACCAGTACCGCTTCCTCCTGCATCGCAAGGAACTGATGCTGTGATTCGGCCACATGAACAAGTGATGATGACAGGGAATTCACATCTCGCATCGGGGCAAGGAGCAGACCGGTGACATGGTGCAGTACATGTATGCCTACAATCTCTTCGAGGAGCACCGCATGTCTGTCCACAGGAAGTTTTCTGACCCGAATCGGATCCAGCAGAGGTGTCACATGGCGGTGGGTGACAAGTTCTGTTGCAGGCATGTATCCCACATTGCCTAGTCTTCCCACATAGCTTGTTGCATCTGATGTCCCTCGAACCGCAAGGAATATTCCTAAGAACTACATGTCCACCAATGCACTCCTTGGCTATTGGAACTGTACAGGGTGGGCAATCACCAAAGTGGCAACTATGTGTAGAGGAGTGGCCGCATGGCTGAGGGACTGAACACGGGAGTTGACACGATGGAGGTGGCGTTCCACAGGGCAATGGTGGAGGAATTGAAGTTTTACCACAAGCACATGTCAAGTCAGTGAAGATTGTTTCGGGACATGGAGAGCAGTGGCCACTGTGACACAGTGATTCACAAGAATGCTGGCCACACCTTAGTTTCTTCCCACACCTCAATACGCAAAAGTGTGGATCCCAGTCTCCTGAATGACTATAGCTCGAGTTCGAAAGAGGACAGCATCTCTCACTGCACCTATGCCTTCCACAATTCTTCTTCCATCCGCAGGGCTTTTCACAAGTGAATATGTCAGTTGGGCTGGAAGTCTTATAGCATTCCACATTTTGAGAGGTCGATCCACATCGGCATTTTTGCACAACTTGAACCAAGCAAGGTGCACAATCCCCAGCATGACAGACATCCTTACAACGATGCTTCCCACAAGGTAATAGTTTCTCACAGAGCTCAGAACATACTGGGATCGGGTCCAAACAACTTGTCCGCTCCTTCTGCAATGGCGTTTTCCCACAATAGCATGTTTTAATCATGTCCGGTACTAGAACACAACCTCCACACGGTCCTGGGTGACAAATTTCACTGCAGAAATGATTCCTGCAATTAAGAATCTTCCCGCAAATCAAACTACAGGGGAAAACGCCATCTTCTGCATTTACTTCACCCTTCAAAGTTATGCTTCCACAAAGAACAAGCTCTTTCTTTTTCTTACAAAAGCAAGAGGCACTAATTAGAACCTGACAAGAATCACATGGACCCAAATGGCATATTTTTTCACACCGGTGATGTCCACAGTCAAGAAGTTTTTCACATCGCTGACCACAAGTTAAAGTGGATTTTCTATCTGAACAGCGTGTCGTTATCAACTTCTTGCCACAAGGGCATAAACGAGGCGGAGCAAATGCCTTGCAAGGAGGGCAGGGACCAGGATGGCACTGCAAGACACAATTATGGGGGCAAAGATTCTCCTTACTTCCACCTGCAATCAGCATCTCCCGATCAAGTGGCTTGCCACAAGGTTCGCCGCACGAATGAGGCGTCAAATACAAATCAGACTGGGGCTCCTGCCTTTTCCCACAGAAACAAACATAACGAATTTCCTTTGAGGATGTAAGCTGCACAGACTGGCATCCAGGACAACGCCAATTTAACCCCTGATTCTTCTCAGCTACCAAGTCGGTAGAAGTGGGCGCTCTAGCCCATTTCTTGATGCAAGTTAAATGAAAAATGCAGAAGCAGCTTGAACAAGACCATATAGGTGCAGATCTCCGCACCATATCATAACAAATCATACACTCAACAGTGCCCTTCGTTAATTTTTCCTGAATTTCATGAACAAGCTGAGGCAAATTGGAGTTTCTCAACTCCTTTACACCCTGATCCCCACTTTTCTCCTTATCTTTTTCCTTGTCTTTTCTTTGATTCCTTCGAGGACCCATGTGAACCCTTGGACCATGATTACCTCCGTCTCGATTAACTGGATGCGGACTAGAATTTAACTCTCGCCCATCGCGATTATCGCTCAAATCGACATTCAATGGCTGGTTCACATGAGTAGCCGTCGTCGTAGTCGTAGTAGTAGTCGTAGTCGTGGATCCTCTCGGTACCCACGTTTGTCGAGCACTTGATGCGGGAAACCTAAGCCTGTCCTTTCGCACATTTCGGACATGCGAGCTCATATTCTGCAATAGAAAAATCAGATAAACGAACAAAAGGAGTTAATCAACAAATAAACATCGATCGAAACACCAACCAGTTATCATCGCAATACTAAGTGGGGAAAACGATTCCATAAACGACGATGAATTCGCAGAAGAGATCAAAATCAACAGGAAACAAAAAAACCCTAGCGCAGAATCATACAAACAAAAATCGAAAAGGGAAACCCCCCAATCCTCTTACAACAATAAAAAACGAAATCAACGAAGAAGAACACCAACAGAGAGAGAGAAAGAATGACAAGAATAGAAAAGCGAGATGATGATGAAGATACCTGATGGAACGAACTCCGAAATGGCGAAGAAGGCAGGAGGGGGATGATTGATGTCCTCCTCTAGATGTTCTGATCAGATGAAGAAGAAGAAGAAATTGTGGCGATTTGTGATGTGGATTGCGATGAAGATGAAGTGCTTTGATTTGAGTTTTGAGTTCGAATTTTGAAGTTGGGTGTGAGAGAAGAAGATGGGGAATGGAGTTCCTGGGAAAGAGGGAGAAGGGAAGGCGATAAATGAGGTCAGAGATTGGTTCCAGCGATTTATAGGGAAGCGAGTGGCTTCGCATTCCCTTGGGGCTTAAGGAAATGGTCCCCCCTCCCCCACCGGCTTTCTTTCCTATGCTTGGTCCGCACTCGCTCATACTCTTATTTATTTATTTATTTATTTATTTATTATATTCCCAAATAAATAAATAAATATATATATATATTAATATCGTGTGTAATTCATAGGTTCAAATCTCGATATCCTCATATTCGGTCGAACGGTAATAAGTAGTTTCGTAAGTGTAATGGAACAAGTTTCAATTGAGCACCTATTGACGCGTTTCGAAGCACCTTCGAGTGTGCGTTTTAGTTTTTGAATGTGTAGTTCAGCATCATTTTAGCTAAAATAATGACGAAAATAGGATCTGAATTCACCGTTAGTCCGTTTAGCTCATTTCAATTGGGGATTGCTCTCGTGGGTTGGAGTTGGGAAGGCATCTATGCTTTAAAGAGTTGTCTTCAATTTCGAAGCTCGAGAATGAAGGTTCTAACCTCAAGCAAGCATCGAAGGAATCAATTTAATGCTAGTGTAATCGAAAATTTAAAATTTATGTTTCGATAAAAAAAAATCCAAATTTTATGAATTTTAAATTTTAATTAATATTTCTATTTCTTAAAGGCTTATTTACGATCTTTTTATCTAAATTAATTTGAAATAATGTTAATATGGTTGATAATTAAATATTATATTTTCACCTTACTTAAAAATTTTAAAAAATAATGTTATTTAAGAGTTTATTAATTGCTTTGTTTAGGATTACTTTGGGCCTAAAGCCCATTACTTTCAAGGTTTTACTTATGGGCTTGAAGCCCAACTCTATGTGATTTAATTTAGAATAATGGATGGAAAAAAAATTAAATAGGCATTGTGGAATAATTTTTAAAAATAGCTCCTAAACCCCCCCCCCCCCCCCCC